ATATATATAAATATAATCTAGTGTGTTTGTGTATTTATATTTGCGTACGTTTGTGGTATGTGTGTTTCATAGCAACAGCCCTGTATCCAGGAGAAATTGCATTTTTTCTTACTTTCAAGCATCACCATTAATATCACTGCATATCTTCACTGTTAAAGAAAATTTATTACATAAAACAGAAAATGCTGCATATCTGTGTAAATCAATGTGCTGTTAGAAAATGCTGCATTATTATCAAATACTGCCATCTGCTGTGTATATTAGTACTTGCAGTTTTGATACATTCAGTGAGTCTGACTGATAATCTTGCTGCTTTTGTTATGCTTCTGCACATAGAAAATTATGTTAGAAACACATGTAATGCATTATAATGGTCCTTTTTACTTACAATAGTTAAATGCTAAATTTTGAACAATGAAATCCAGATTTCCCAAACAGATCAGGCAATACACATGGACCAGGGGTTTGTAAACGTTTGGTGCATACTGCATTTTTGATGTGACCTTAGGCCATGTTAACCATGCGGTCTTGCAACTTTACCAGCCTAGAAGAAGCCAGTGCAGAGGCAACCTTGCCTTATAAGTATATGTTGTCCAGTGCATATTGGACATAACATAACATCACCACATTCCCTGCTATTTAAGGAGCAGGAAAAATAACACCTAGACACAACAAATATCTAACTTTGACAACAGATACAGAAAATGCATGAAAATAAAAACATGTTACCGTAACATTGCAAAGAAAAAGACAATAAGAAATGACTAAATAATGCATTGTAGCTGCAAAAAAATCAGGTGCATATGATTTATTTTTGTGTTGGTGGCAGATCATTGTACTGCTCAGTTACGGACACAACTGAAATTATTTCCTTGGATTATTTCTCTAAAATGAGACCTGCTATATTTGGATTATACATATTTATATTTAATAAAATATGTTGTAAATTGATTCAGCTGGCCTAAGTGGGTGCCTTAAAAGTTTGTTCTTGTATATACTTTTTATAGTTGTCTAGGTTGAAATGTGAAACCCTCTACTTCCTTCCTACCCCTCATTTAGGTCAAATATATTTGGATTAGAAAACACTAAATAATGAATCTTTAAATTTGCTTTGATTTATCTGACTTTAAGAAAAGGATGTATTCTAACTTATTTGAGATGGTGTTATTCCACGCATCTTCATACTGCAGAGATTGCTGACAAGATAACCACAAAAGAATAGAAAGTTCAGTGATTCGTATTGCTGGTTACATGTCATGTTCCCTGGATCTAATGCTGTGTAACAAGGTGCATGCCATAACTGACAGAAAATATACATCAGATAACAAGCAGCAGGTATAATATAAAAATAAATAAATAAAAATGATTTTATAATTTTCTTAGGGTCAGCTTGTTGACCTATAGCACTGATAGACAGTGGAGACATATTTCCACACCTCTAAAATCTCTTTAAAAATGATTGCCTATTTCTGTGAAACCTTTCTTGCTTCATAAGAGTTATATCTGAGCCTATCTTAAAGTTAATTGCAAAAAAAAGACATTTTGTCAAAAGTTTCTGCTATCTAAAAACATTCCCCTTCTTTTTACAAAATGTTAAATGTTGAATGATTCTCCGTACCTCCTAGGTTTGATGTTTTCTAGAATGTTTTTCCACCCTGTCAAAAGATTGTTTTTTTCTAAGGTTTTTTTTTTTTCGGTGCAGGCATCTCTGCTAGGTCTTTGAGTTTAGTAGTCCTTTATGGTTGGATGCCACATTGGTTTTCTGTGGTGTTGTTGGATCCTTGCAAAGGATCTTTTTTCATTATGCAATTTTCTAGCTATTTTTTCATTGTTGGTCATCAATGCAAAATCCAAAATGATGAAAAACAAAATGACCCCAATGCCTTTACCAAAACACATATTTCCCCTATATGTGAATAAAAAATGGTTAAATACTGACTTTTTTGTTTTTTTTAATGGCTAATTATGTTATTAAAAAAAGTTTTGATGCCTTTTGGAAACTGAATTGGGAGAATTTTACCTATGATATTTGCCAACAAATATTTACTGCATTAAAGTCCAAGGAGGAAAGAGTAGGGAATGGCTGTGAAATCATGGGACATGCAGAACAAATTTTAAGATGTTTGCTCTACTCTAATTATTATTGTTGTCTTACATTCTACTTTAGGCCTTAACAAATCTTTGTTGTCAATGTTGTCAGCTACCTGATATGGAGTTTTTTTATGTTTAAAAATATTAGTGGTTCCAAAGCTGGCTCAATTTTTAAACCTTTAATCCCACCCACCATGCTTACCCCTACCCAACTCCAGCTTCCAAAATAGAGACCATACTTGTGCTGCTGTTCTCATTGGTCCTGTCTTTACAGTGTTTCTTCATAACCCTCGTTTTGCCTGTTTTAAATCCTGTTTCCCATATTCTTGCTGAATTTAGCTCATTGGGCTTTTTATTTACAGTCTGCCTAGACACTGCTATGTTCCCAAGCCTGCTTACCCCTAACCTCTGATGTGTTGGGTTTCCTGATCTGACTGCTTATTTGACCTGATGTAGCTAGTACTCATTCTGCACTGACATTTGCTATTTTCCTGACTACATCTATAACCTGTGCTCTGGCTTTGATGCAAAGTTCTGGTTGTCTCTGACAACTGACAAGCTTAGGCAACTCGTCTTTACAATTTTAACTCACTGATCGGATCTGATTTGATATGACTTCAGCTTGACTGACTACTCCACATCTCCTAGCTTGAGCTTGCTATAAAATGGACTCCCTGTTGAGGCCAGATAATCTGGTGCTTAATCAAAGGTCTTCTTGTCATAAAGTGAACCTGTATTCAAAAAGTTAAGTGTTGTTCTTTTATAGGGAATATCTATTAGGGTTAATTGTAGCAAATTACTACCCTGATGTACCTTTTGCCTTGAGCTGCAGTTGCAATTGCATTAGAGGTTACAGTAATAACATGGAGGTTAACAAGATGAACCAGTGAGAGATGAGGGGGACCAAGGAGATTGACACTTTTGAAAGTGTTGGTTTCCCAGCAAACTTCAGAGGATTTCTTGTGAACAGAGCGGTGTTTGGCAGTGTGAGGGCAAGGAGAGGTAACTATGTACTTTCGTATTTTACAGGTATGTCTTGCCCGGAGAAGTTTAGTATAATAACAGGGTTTTTTTTTATTTTTTATTAGTGTATAATTTTACACTGTGTATGTACAATATGTCAGCCATATGTGTCCATTACATTTGCAGGCTTCACTTTCTACTCTTTTTATTACTACATAACTACTGCACCCAACTGCTTTTCTCTCTTATAGCATATGTTTGGGTCAAGTCTAGCCAGGCTGAAAAACTTTTATAAAATTAACTAATTTGTAACAGTCATTAGGCAAGGGTTGCTCACTATGTTCCCCAACAGATGGTTACTAGAAGTAGTATTTACAAATATGTATGTGAAATAATGTATAAATTAATCATGGAATAGCAAGCAAGTATGTACAACTCTTGTGAAAAATTGCCTTTAGGTGAATGTTACAATACTAACAGTTTATAAATATAACTTTGTATAATGATAGCTTTTACTTAAAGAACTACTATGTTTTATAAGAAGTCTGTAATTATGAATAAGGTACTTTACTAGCAAGAAATACTTATTTTCCAATAGCCCCTTAAAAGAATATTCATTTTGTTAAATGTTAACAAAAAGTAATATTTCTCAAGCTGTGTCAAGACTTGGGACTTTATAGGAATAAAGGAATGATGTTACGAACGTATTCTATTTGCAAAGCAAAATGTTTCTTAGGCTAAGCATTTTATTGTTGGTATAGATAACAGAAGTGCTCACCTAAAATTAAAATATTAAGTGCTCTTTCTGTTTGTTTTTGTTTTTTCTAGCCCCATGTGAAGCAAATTCATTTTTTTGTCATAGTAATATGTGCATTAATAATACATTGGTCTGCAATGGAATTCAGAACTGTGTGTACCCTTGGGATGAAAACCACTGCAAAGGTAATAAACAGAAGCTAAATTGATTGCACAAATCAATTTACACAGTATATACTATATATGATTATTAATCACTCCCTTGTTTGAATTGAGATATGTAACCCTTTGTGATTGTGAGATATACTTTGGACATTCAGACATGTGCTTTAATTTCTAACATAATTGTAAATGTATCTTGTTAATGTACTCAGATTTATTACATGCAAATATTGTAACCCTGTAAAATATAGATGTAAAGAAGACTGAAACACTATAGTAACTTCTGCCATTAAGTTATGCTGGGTCAAACAGTTTCCAGCATATTTTACTATACATATTCTTTTGTTATTGTGTTACTTAGTAGAGTGTCTACATTATTATGTACTTTTATTATACCCCCTCTCTCTTGACTGGGATCTGAGTTACAGGACAGCTTTATACCTGATGATTATGAGCAATCACCATATATGCATGCACCAAAAAACACAAATAATAGTGTAGCGCTGAAAACAATTACAAAGTATAAAATCACTCCTCTGCTAATACTGTGACATCTGCTTTAAATAACACACAGTCTCATGAAGTGTTCTTTATTATCAGTGTTTGTGTATCCAATCCACGGAAGTAAACTTCTGATTATCCACACCACCACTCAGTGAAAAGGACACCACTGGAGCAAAAGGCTGAAGAAACACCACAAAGTGATCATGCTCACTTCTTATACTCTATATGACCCTCACTAAAATACATTACTGTGATCTCACTAGCATTCCCTTCTTAATAGGGATTGAAATGTTTTTTTCACCATAGGAGATGTTTGATCTCCTGGCATACACCTGGATCCTCAACATGAGGGGAATACCTTGCCAGGAGTGCGCCCCTAGCAAAACACCTTGTCCCAATGTTAATAAGGACAGGGACCTCTTCCCCACAACTCTAGCCCAGTGGTTGTAGGAATTTGCAGGCGGAGGGGCTTATTGTAATCTAATAGCCCCATTTAAGAATAAAGGGGTCCCAGTATGCTGCACCCCCAATCTGAAGGAGTGAGGGTTTGATAGTTTCATTACTCATTCACGGAAAACAAATGGCAGTGTAAATAACAACACACACCTTTTGCCAAGTCCTTTATTCAAAGACCCAAAAAGTCCAACATTGCACATCCATCATCAATCAAGTCATCCAGAGATGCAGAGCCTCATCAATCAAGGTGAATGACACCCTGCCAGCTGTCTAAAAAAATCCCACCAACCAAGTGATATGTTCGCACTCCATGGGAGACCAGTGTCAAATGACAGCTCAAGGCCCCGCATCATAATGTAAACAAAAGGGCAGGGTGTGGGCAGTGATGTCATTGACCAAAAATGTATAGGTACATTTTTTTGGGGGTCCAACATTAACATCTATAGCTAAAGGACCTGGTATGAATTTTGGGGGGACCCCGTGCCTTTTTTCCCCATTCTAGACCTGAAAGGCCTGGTATTAACTTTGCGTGACCCTTTTCTTCTTTGGATGGTGGGGGTCCCCCCATAAAATGTATAGCCGGTTCTCATCTAGAATCAGGGTCTGCAATAGATGAAGGAAATCCCCACTTTGTTTACAAACAGAATGAAGTGACCAGGAGCTGTCATTTGCCAGCAATTTAAAAATGTATTTCTTAGTAAATTTCAGTTCTGCTGTAGCATATTTTATGAATTGCACAAACATGCCACTTCACAGGCAGGTTCGGTGCATCCCCAAAGCAGGTTATTAAAAAAAAAACCACACACTATAAATACCTAAATATTTTACAGTAAAGGCTAAGCTTTATCTTGGAGATTCTGTAGATGTCTGATATTAGGGTTGTCATTTTGTTGTAGTGAAGAACATTAGCCCTTTTGCTTGCTAAGGTTGCAAGCTTACATAAGGAAGAGCAGCATTTGATAGGCAGCAGTTAAGGTGTCCTAACCTCTTGTATTATGTGCTTTTAGTTATTCATAAAATAACTGTCAGAATTCAGACATTTTTTCACCCCACCAGTGAGGGTAATTATTGAGAGATTAGGCCTAAAACTATTTAATCTGCTGTCTTTATCCCCAGGAAATCTTAAATCATCTATGTCATCCAAAATCTATATGTGTCTGATATTTTGAGAATAGAATTTATCATTAACTTCATGTATCTGGGCATATCTGGGCATTGTATTTATTGATCTACTTTATTTTACAAATCTAATTATACTTCCCCTGCATATGAACAAACAAATAAAATAGCTATCAACTTGAGCCTTTAACAATTACATTTTACTGTTTGATACAAAAATCATACATCTACTCTAATTTTGTAATTGTTATTTCTTATTAGTTCCATAAATTTAGGCGGTATGCCTATAACCCTAACTTTTTAACTTTTTGCTTTGGATATAGTAGGGAAGGGTTAGCCACTTTTAGTTTTCTTTCTATATTGTAGGCCTCATAATTTCTATTTGTCCTGGTGACCTTTCTCACTAGCAGAGAAATACACTCACAGCCCACTTTATTAGGTACACCTGTTCAATTGCTTGGTAACACAAATTGCTAATCAGCAAATCACATGGCAGCAACTCAATGCATTTAGGCATTTAGACAAGTTGAAGACAACTTGCTGAAGTTCAAACCGAGCATCAGAATGGGTAAGAAAGGGGATTTGAGTGACTTTGAACGTGGCATGGTTGTAGGTGCCAGACGGGCTGGTCAGAGTATTTCAAAAACTGCTGATATACTGGGATTTTCATACACAACCTTCTCTAGGGTTTACAGACAATGGTCCAAAAAAGAGAAAATATCCAGTGAGCGTCAGTTGTGTGGAAGAAAATGCCTTTTTGATGTCAGAGGTCAGAAGAGAATGTGCAGACTGGTTCGAGATGATAGAAAACCAACAGTAACTCAAATAACCACCCGTTACAACTAAGGTATGCAGAATACCATCTCTGAAGGCACAGCATGTCAAACCTTGAATCAGATGGGCTACGGCAGCAGAAGACCACACCGGGTGCCACTCCTGTCGGCTAAGAACAGGAAAAAGAGGCTACAATTCGCACAGGCTCACCAAAATTGGACAATACTTTAGAAGATTGGAAAAACATTGCCTGGTCTGATGAGTCCTGATTTCAGCTGCGACATTCAGATGGTAGGATCAGAATTTGGCATAAACAACATGAAAGCATGGATCCATCCTGCCTTGTATCAATGGTTCAGGCTGGTGGTGGTGATGGTGTAATGGTGTGAGGGAAATTTTCTTGGCACACTTTGGGCCCCTTAGTACAAATTGAGCATCGTTTAAATGCCACGGCCTACCTGTGTATTGTTGCTGACCATGTCCATCCCTTTATGACCACAGTGTACCCCTCTTCTGATGGCTACTTCCAGCAGGATAATGCACCACGTCACAAAGCTCACATCATCTCAAACTGGTTTCTTGAACATGACAATGAGTTCACTGTACTCTAGTGGTCTCCATAGTCACCAGATCTCAATCCAATAGAGCACCTTTGGGATGTGGTAGAACGGGAGATTCGCATCATGGATGTGCAGCCGACAAATCTGCAGCAACTGCGTGATGCTATCATGTCAATATGGACCAAAATCTCTGAGGAATGTTCCCAACACCTTGTTGAATCTATGCCATGAAGAATTAAGGCAGGCTGAAGGCAAAAGGGGGTCCAATCCAGTACTAGCAAGGTGTAGCTAATAAAGTGGCCGGGGAGTGTAGATTGGAAAACCAAAATTTAGAGGTTGTCATGAGAACAAGAGGTAAAAGAAACCTGTCAAAGGAAACACCTGTTCCAGTGTCACCTGCCTAAAAAGGGATTTCCCTTTCAGAGAGATTTCCTCTTCTTACTCTGAGACAAGAAGTGAACAATTCCTGATAGGGATACAGATGGCATAATAGTATTTATGCTTTTTAGATTACGTAATGTCTGTGGCTACCTATACATTACCATTGCTAATCACTTGAGGAAGATCTTTGCATATGCAATCTTTTGTACAAAAGTTATTTTATTTTATTTTTTATGGTCCGGGTGGTGGCGTGCGGTGTCATCTGTGTGGTCTCTGCCCGGGCTGCTGCCAGGGGAGCTCACCGTCAATTGTTCCACGAGGCGCTCTTGCGATTGGGAGCGAAACATCTCTGGGAGATTGCGGCTGAGTTGCGTGCCCGATTCTCGGGGTGCTTTGGTCGCCTGAGTGTTCTTCCCACTTCGCTTCATGGTGCAGGTGAAGGAACGTTCTGCTACAGGCTAAAATAGCGCTGATAAGGGAGCCCGGGTGTCGGAGGACAGGATTCAAGCGTCCATCTTGGTCCCGCTTCAGGCCACGCCCTGTTATTTTATTTATTTACATAATACACTTGTAATGGTGCCAGATTATATTAAAATGACGTGTCCAGGAAATGTGGGAAATGTGCGTAAAATTAGTATATTGATGTGCGAAATGATCATATATCCAAGAGAAAACCGCTAAACAAATGACAGCTCTGCAGACTGATTTTCTGCATGTTCTGAAAAAATATTTTTAATGAATGATCTTTTACAAATGATAGTTTGATTTCAAGTTGCCCTATTCATTACCCACTATTAAATGTCTGTGCATCTTCTAATACTGAATGAGTCTTGACAGGCTGAGTGCATACATTTAACTTGTAATTTCATCCAACAATAGGAGTCAATGTAATGCAAGGATTGAAGAAACCATGATCCCCTTTTTAACTGGCTTTTCCACACAGCAGCATTGTAGTATACCAACGCAGTTTGAACAGAGAAATTCATTTAGATAAACAACTTGCATTTGATCTGACCTTAGAGCTGCTTACTGCTGCCTTCTGTATGATTTAGTGAACTGCAATGCCTTATGTAAGCTGTCACTTTTCTTGTGTGTATTAATGTTACAATGAACCCTTTTAAGACTAACAGGATTTAGTTAACAATGTGTCAAACATCCATCTCTATCCATTATACTCCTATTAATTGCCAGTAGTTTTATAGTTTAAAAACACAAAGCTGATAATTTAGTGTATGTTGAAAGCTTACCTAAAGCAGAGCTCCATGCAAGAATGTTCTTAACATTTGCAGTGGGGCTCGGAGCTGGCTTGCTCTTAAAACCTGTCACTAGAGCCTCTCTTCCCCTCTGCTGCAGTGGTTGAAGGATCCTTGATTCATCACATTCTATACACAGTGTATAGGATGCGAGGAAGCCAAGGGACATACCATCACTGCAGTGGATGAGGAGAAAGGCTTCAGGGACTGGTATAGCAGCCAGCCAGCTGTTCAGTTCAGGTAAATATAACTTTTTTTGTTAGCACCTATAAAAAATTAGCGTTCTGCTTTAAAATGCATTTAAAAGAAAATGTTTTATTTGTTTTGGAGAGTGCTTTGAGATGTTGTTTTGGGGAGCAGAAGAGTTAAAACCTCTGTCAAGTTTGTATTGCTGCCTCTTTTTGTCCTGGTAAATACTGGCACTGGGACTTAAAATCATGGTAAATCCAAAATTTTTAGTTTCCTCTAATAGGAAATCTTTCAGTGGGGACAGTCTGCTCTGGGGACACAAAAAAATGACTTGGGTTTTAACTATTCCCTAATCTAGCCAAAATGAAAACAAAAACATGTTGGCTTTAGATATGCTTTAAATACTTGCTGCCTATAGCCATTCATTTACTAACAAAATAAAAACTAATTGTTTTTACTGTGCAGAAAAACGAAAATCAAGCCTTTTGGATCAGCTTACCAATACTAGCGGGACAGTTATTGGAGTCTCCTCTTGCATTGTCATCATCCTCATTATAATATCTGTCATTGTACAGATCAAGCAACCTCGTAAGAAGTACATCGAAAGGAAAGCAGAGTTTGACCAAACAGTATTCCAGGAGGTGTTTGAACCTCCTCATTATGAGTTATGCACTCTTCGAGGTACAGGAGCTGCAGCAGACATTGCTGATGTCACAGAAGATTTTGAGAACTACCATAAATTACGGAGATCATCTTCAAAATGCGTTCATGACCATCACTGTGGATCATTGTCTAGCGCTAAGGGCAGCCGTAGTAACCTTAGCACAAGGGAGCCTACCATACTAACAGACACTCCAAACCCACCCGCTAATCCCAGTTTACAACCTATGAACAGGAGAAACATCCTTGTAATGAAGCATAGCTATTCACAGGATGTAGCAGATCCATGTGACATCGATGACATTGAGGAAGTTCCCACCACAAGCCACAGGCTGTCAAGACATGACAAATCTGTCCAGCGGTCAGTATCAATAAATTTTTGATGAAGACTTTTATCTAAGGACTTGTTGTTATCTCCAAAAATGTACTTACTATCTTTTACGTTTCATCATTTTTCTTTACATCACTTCAAAAATTTGTTTCTTACATTTTTTGCTCCTTTTATTCGGAAGAAAAACAGCTACCTAAAAACAATAAGAATTTGCAATAAGCACACATCCATTATCACAGGAACAAATAAGCTAAAAATCTTATTTTGAGCTGCACATTCCTTACAGTGCTCAACCAGTGCCTAAAGTGACTGCAATGGATTTGCAAGGGCCCAGATAACAAGACAGAGAAGTCACCGTCATTTCAATGCATCTTTTTCAAAGATTTATTGTGAAAAATGCCATGTCACCCTGGTCAGATAGTCATAATTTCGGGGCCTCACAAGGTCCCGTCCTTAGGGTGACTCCATGACACCAAGTTGCCCTGAGGAAGGCAGGAGGGGACCCTGTAAAGCCTCAAAACATTGGATAAGTGGCCAATGTAACATAAAGTTCTTAACAATAAATTATTGAAATAGACATGAAACAGAGTGCTGGTGATGTATTCATCTTGTTTACAGGAAAGAATAAGTCTTCTTTTCTAAACATTTTTTATAGTAATACTGAAAAAATGGAGCTGAAAAAATGGAGCAGTTCATAAATAAGAGAACATATGTATTTACATATAGAGTATATATATATACACACACACACTTTTTAAAGCCTCTGTCAGAGTATGGTAATGGAGAATAGCACATTTTAGCATTCAGATTGCACTTTTAGTATCTCAATGCTTGTCATATACCTACATGCATGCAAAGCCACACTAGCATATGCTATATGAAACTTTACAATTTTCCCTGCATACAAACAGTGTTTATGAATTATAACTACATACGGGCACGTGGTTCTGTTTTATAATACTATATGAATTCTAGCAGGACTTTTTGGTGCATATTATTTTTTTTAAATATGCAATGTTCAATGAATGCCTATTAAAGACATTATACGTATTTCCACATTATCAGGGTAAAACCTTTCCATAAATCACTGGATGTTATAGCACTCTTTTGTATGTTTTCTGTGTTTGTAGTGCATGCATATTTGTGCTTCTGTGTTTGTTTACATGCACTACATCCTTTCTTTGCACATTAAAACCACTTATCTCTTAAAAACTCTTCTCTTCTTTACGTGTGTTGCATGCCAGTGAGTTTTCGTGCTGTGTAATTCACTAATTAAAACCATCTCTGAATGTAATCTGTTTTATGCAAACATATTGAGTGAAATAGCCATAACATTCCAGGTTCTGCCTCATTGGATCTCTAAACAAACATGAAACTGAATACAACACAACTAGGGTATGAGAAGCAAACTGAAGGTAAGTCTAAACTATGTGGCATGCTTTAATTTATTGCATTTTAACTGTAACTAACAACATTAAAGAATTACTAACACCTATGCATGCAAAATAATTATGCAGTTTAATGTATATTATTAATTACATTTTATTTGATGTATGATTATTTATGGAGAATTAGAAATGCAGCTTATTAGTTTGTGTGTTTACTTCTGACAGGGTATGTGCATCTAAAAAGTATTACTTAAAACCGGGTTAAGTCACCCATCAGCTGGTTCACAAATCAAAGACTTCAGAAAGAGTTTCCCTTTTTCCAAGATCCTAATCCTTTGCCTGGCCTCAGCCCAAACATAACAGATCTCATTTTTATATAAAGCAATCTGGTATCATAACCCAAAATGGGCTGCAGTTTTCAAACATTCCTTTTAATAATCCTACTGGAGTGGATAATATGTTTGTTATAGTTGCTTATCAAATAGCATGTCCCAGCTGTGGTGCAAAGGGGGAAGCCAGGAGATGCACTAGCTTTTTTGAGATTTGTGAACATGCTGATCAAAGTGAACATGTCAGCTATTTAAAATATTTTCATGTTCAATGTCTCCATAACACAGAAATCCTCCTATTACTTCTCTTAAACAGACAAAAATAATCTTCCTCTGTGGGCCTCTTTGAAGCTAATCTTACTTTTCACTGAAGACCTCCTTGACTTCAGGGCTAAAACTCTACCATATTTAAAATTAGATTGTCCCTATTATTCACTGAGCCAGTATCAATGGAATTTGAGTGGCTGTTGACAGAGGTCATGACATGAACAAAGTCAGTAGCCTACTGTATTCTCTTACTTAAAAGGGACAACAAGGTTCTCGTGATATCCTCACAGATTACCAAAAATCATGCATCAAATCTGGGTATTTTTAGTCTGCACAAAATGCAGTTTTTATGTGGCATTTACTTTTTACAACTCGGATCTCCTGTTTACTATAAACCCTTTTGAATGGGGATTTTGTTTTTCTTTTGGTATTATCATCCATTATTATCATTACCTTTGCTTTTAATTAAGTCCATTTCACAGTGTTATGTATTGCATTTGTATGTTTCCTTGTGAGATTTACAATTTCAGTTACCTTTCTGCAGATGCACAAACACATTTGGGCCACTTGCTACAGAATTCAGTTGACTTTTTTATTGTGGGAAGAATACTCAAAGGAACCACCACGAAGACAGGATAACTCTGCCATGGTTGCAATTAAATCTAGAATGTAGCAAAGTTGTTGAGCAATGTTAATTGATAGATATAAGTAAATGTATTTGCCAGGTTTAGGTTTTAGCCCAAGTTGATGCGATTCACCCAAGCCAGGGATTTTTGGATTTATCTCTCATTTCAGTGTGTGCCAAAAGTCTCTCATGTTCTCATTAGGTTAACAAGCAGTGATCTCAGGCCTACTTACTTGCAGTTCTTCCAGTCTAGCTCTCTCCACAGGCTAGGTGTGAGGATTAATGTCAATAGACACAACCCCTATTTGAAAACAATGTGGGAGGAAATGTTTAGCTATATCTGGCCGGACACAGAGCTGAACTCATTTGGTAAATTACTCAAATATATCATAAATGTTTCTCAGAAACTTCACTAGTGTCATTAAAGAGATTAAGAGTCTAGGATCAGTGATACATAATAATATTTTTACCTCAATTCTATTCTATTTACCTAATTCTAAGACAGTAGATAAATAGCAGCAATCACATGTAACAATAATTCCACAAAAGCCCTGAAGAATTTGGAAAACTATTGCATATTCCACAAAACTCTTGCGTGAAATAATGTATTTCCACTCTGTTTCACATATACATAAACAAAGAAAGCCAAGAGACAATGCAACCATCATAATTAGCCATTTAGCCTACATTACTTTCCAGACTTTTTTTTTTTTTTTACAAACGTACTAAGCATTGTTTCCTCTAATGAGCAACCTTAGTACATTTTCAGTGTATTGTCACATTGTTGATCAGAGGCTTGGCCACTACAAGTCACAGACAGTGCTTGTTATTTTTACTCATCAGCACTGTCAGTATATCAGATGTTCGTCTACAACGTTTCATGATTTTTATCTCTTTTTAAGTCCATATTCATTCACTGATAGGACTAGTTTTAGCTATCATATGTCTTGCTATCTCTTTTCCTGACATTTTTCAGTGGTTCAGTATGCTACGGTATATCTCTGCTAGCAATTAAATTAAAAAGGCAGCGTTATATTACAACCCCAATTCCAAAAAAGTTGGGACGCTGCATAGAATGGTTGCTGCCATCAATTTCAAAATTACCTAATTTTTTTCTAAAATGGTACATTTTCTCAGTTTAAACATTTGATATGTTTTCTATTTTCTAGTGGGAATAAAATATGATTTTTTGAGGTTTGCAAATCATTGCTTTCTGTTTTTATGAAGATTCTGTTAAGCGTCCCAACCTTTATGGAAACGGGGTTGTACATTCTGTTAGTGACAAAGGGTCAAATTAGGAATAGGAATGAAATGTGGAGTAACAGGGATAGGGTTGAGCTAGCCATACACAGTGCATTTTTTCTCCTTCAACTTCCTGGGCTGAATTTAAAAAAATGCTCAATTCCCTTTATCCAGGCAAAATAGTGTGGATGGGCAAATCCCTAGCCGGGATTTTGTATTCTGCACTGCTGTCAGAATACCCAACAGTGAGTGCAATTGATTGGCTGCAATCACTGTTCAGCTGAGAATTTACAGACTAGATCCTCAGACAAAGTTGACTCCCATACCTTTTTAAACATATGCGAATTGAGCAGATGACAAAAACAAAATTAAAATAATCACTGTGACTGTCCCCTCCTCTCTCTGCCGGCGTCCATCACCAAGATGGCCGCCGGCAGGTATCAGAATACTGCCCCGCGTGGTGACGTCACGCGCATGCGCAGTGACGTCTCGGCGGGGTGACACTCGGTTACCGCTCCGGGTGTCACCCAGCCTCGGGACACCCCTACTTAATGCATGTTATTATTTTTCTTACATCTAGAATAAACATTTGAAATGTATTGTCTCATCTATTTCTCCGTATTAAAATTAATCTCCAAATTAAAACAAAGCATTATACGCTTAATGTATGGAACTCTGACTTAATGTGCATCCAACACCAATAGAACGGTGAGTGTTTAGAGCCTGGAAGTTTATTTTTGCTATCTGTGTCCCTGTTAAAGAGATTCACCCTGTCTATTTGTCCTAGTGACCCTTATAACTAGGTCTGAAAGTGAGAGAAAATCCAAAATAATGAGTTCTCACCAGAACCTGAATATAAAAAACATATTTCAATAGGGATTCTTTTTATGGTAACACTTGCAATGTATACACGACAGAAATTGCAAATACATTTGTCAAATGGGACACAAATGGCAAAAAGCACATGAGGGTTTTAACCATTGCCTACTCTACCCAAAATGGTACAAAAAAGTTCAGACTTTAGACATTTCTTTTTAATCAGAAACTGTTTCTGTTATTTTCATTTATTTGACTCTCAGAAAGATTTATTTTCTTGTGCTCTTCTTTATTTCGTTGACTTTGAAAAAAGAAACCCCTCTAGTTCTCTGAATATAAAACACTGACCTCTTCTTGTTCTCTGACTCGTGTCATAAATTATGCTTTATTGTTGTGGGGGTGTGGCTTGGCATTCAGGGAAGATGGCCACACTTTGAAAGTTCCACTCCCAGTCGTTGGAACACCTGGAAGGCTCTCCACTGTCTGACCACGAGGCCACAGAATTGGAAGGACCTGATTTCCCTGCACTCGATCCTACATTAGTAGGCTTCCCCAGCATGTGGATATACAATTCATTGTGGTGGAAACCAAGACTGCTCTATCCACAGTGGTATTGGACCTGAACTCAGACATAAAGGATATTGCCACCCGCCTGTCGATAATAGAACAGGCCGGGGCCGGCAGAGATGACATGATTCAGTCAGCTAGGCATGTGGTTGCTGCACACAACCGTTTGATTACACTAAAGCGGCAGATGACGAATCTTGATAATTGTGGCTGCAGCCGAATTGGTAGAGCAGGATGGCCCGCAGTTGGCCTTGCAGGCGATTTTTAATGATCTCTTAGAAAGACCGCCCATCAAGCTGGTAAGGGCACATAGAGCCCTGGAGCCACAGACCCACAGAGGGATGTAGTCTGTTGCTTTGTTAGCTATCTGCTGAAAGAAGAAATTCTACGGAAAGCCAGAAAGCAGGCATCCATGACTTACATTGACTCGGAGATGCAGATCTTTCAGGATCTATTGACCAGTACATTTCAAAACCACAGGGCACTGAGACCTCTTCTGGTTGAACTACAATGCCTAAATATTCCCTACCGCTGGAGATTTATGTTCGGCCTCTCAGCATCCAGATCAGGATGCACTGCTCTTCTCAGAACACTTGATGAGCTTCGGTCCTTTTGGGATCTTCTCAGTTAATCACTACCCTCTCTGCTGGATTAGTATGCATCCTTCCAGATACTGGTAGGCTGGTCAGATATGCTGTATACTGCCTTGGATCAAGATCTGGCCCCCTCCAGTCCTTCTAGGTGTATTACCTCTGGCAGAGAGAGGGATTCCACTCAGGCTATGACCTCCACTCCATGTCGTTTTTTGGGGCAACAAGCAATTGATGGGGATCAGCAAGATGAGAACTTGAAAACTGTAGGCCTGCTATTCCTGCTGTTCTGATGGTTCAAATGAGTACTTTTTTCATCTTTTATAGTTTTTGCTCATACGTATCTCATGTTGAAAGAACTTCATTGTTATCATCAAGTTATCTTTTTGAATCTGCCCTTATGCCTGCTCTACCTAGGATAGACTTACCCTAGCACCACAGTCTCAACTTCATAGACACACCTGTTATGATTACTATTTTCTCACCCTCAGTAATGCTGGCTCCATAGGCTCCTGTAGACTCCCTCCACTCACCTGGATCCGATGGGTTGCACTACAATGGAAGCAATTCTTATGCTTTTTCCTTGTGCTT